GAACTACAATACCGATAAGTGATTAATAAAAGTCAAAAGACCAAAGAGGTCATCTTAATACCAAAAAAAAAAAAAAAAATGATGACATCCTTATGCAATTCTAATTAAAAAAAAATTAAAGCACATGACAAAAAAGATTATATATTTATACTATCCATATTATTGTATGTAAAAATAGCTTTTTCTTTCTATGTACAACCTTAATTTTAACTTCATTATCCAATTAAGTATATTTAAGCTATACACTATTATATAATGATAAGTGCTTTTTTTTTTTTTGATATAGCTGTTTTATGTACATATTTATAATTCATCTGGTTTAAAAATAGAAAAATGCTGCATTTTATGTATAAGGAATATTATTTGCTTAATCATATCTGGATGAAGCCTGTTACATAATGCCATAATATGTAATCCAGCATCTGAAAATAATTGCTCTAAAGAGACCAATGTTGATAGCACTGACAAGTATTTTCAAGCTAGATTTGATAGTGCAGAATACATTTTAGATCTATCTTTTTACCATGCTAGTGGATTACAGCCTATTTTCTTAGCAGGTTCACAAAGGTAACAGTCAACTTCAATTTTATTAAGAATTTTATTATTAGGTTCTTTACTACTATATAAAGCTACAATCAAGTTATTAGTTGTTGCGGGTTTGAGAGTTGACATAGTAGATGACTTGTCAAGCTCAACTAAGTGCTGGTAGTATTTTTCTTCATCACAATGTGTTCACACCCTATTAATTATAGTTTTTTTATTGATTTATCACTAAGAAACTTCAAATGCTTAATTCTCGGATCCAAAAATAATGCTATAAGCCTAATTTCTTTAGAAGTTTTCTAATATTCTTGAAGAGAAAGATAACTTGCAGCTTTAACTAAATCACATAGGTCTTCAGTAGTAACAGGAGGCTCTATTAATTGACATTCTTTAAATTGCATGTCATTATTTTAATATATATTTTTTTTAATTTTGCTGTAACTTTGTTTCTTTATTCGTTCTTGTAATACTTGTAATGATTGATGAAGTTGCTTTGAAATTATTTGTGTATCAAATTCATCTTCTATATCGAGTTCATCAGGATTTTTATTATTGGTTAGTTAACTTGGGCTAAAAATAAAAAAATAAACCAGATTTCAGTTTTTTAATATTTATAAATTTAAAATCCTGAAGTCTAGTAGCACTATATATTTCTAAAAAGTAAGATTTAATGCTAAGAAAAACTTTTTATATATCCAATAGGTTCAAATAATAATTCAGCATAATCATCTTCAGTTTGTTTATAAGAAGGTGCGAATTTCCAATAGGCAATCTTATTGTTGGATAAATGAGGTTAAGAGTAGGATAGTTTGAACCAGAAAATATATTAGTAGCTTCATAAAATGGTTTTAATAATAGGATAAGACTATTTAACAATTACCATTCATTTTCAGTTAGATTAATTAATTTCAAATACTCATTATCAAGTTTGTTACATCGTTCCGATTCTGAAGGCAACATCAAAACAAGATAATTGATCACCTTTTATAACTCTTTAAGCTAAACCCAAGCTAAATATAAAGAATTTCATCTCATTGGTACATTATTAATTGGTTAGTAAATTTTTGAATATTTACATTTTTCTTGTGCATCTTTAAGTTGTTCAGATTGTTTAGGACTTTGAGAAAAAAAAAGAATTAAATTCTTTGCTCTTTTAATTAATTGTATTGCAGGTTTAAGACTTTTTAGTATGCTTAGTTAAAGCGTATAAGCAGAGCAAGATAATCATATAGTATTGTCCATTAAGCCAATTGCCTTTTTAATATTAGCTCCATTGTCAGTTGTAATGCAAAAAATTCGTTCTGTGAGTTCCCAATCAGTGATAACTTGACTAAGAGAGTCTTTGATAGCTTCAGCTATGTGTAGTGAGAGAAGCAGTCAGATTGTTAATAAAGCCTCTTTTAATTTAAAGCTTGAATTGATCCATGTTGCTATCACTTCAATGTACCCTTGATTTGTTCTTGAACTCCACATATCTGTTGTTAAATTAATGAATCCATTATCAGTATTCATTATACCAAATAATTGATTATGACTCCAATCATAAGCTTTGCCAATCTTTTTTTTTACAATCTGCTCACAAGAAATGTAAAAGCCTGCTTCGATATAATTTAACAACTGGCAAAAAGCTTAGTTACATAAAATATAAAAAGGTTGGCAATCTTCAATGATAAATTCGACCAATAGCTGTGCTATTTTGTCTTGCTTCTATTTACTAAAGACATGCATAGCTTTGACAATTGAACTATTATTGTTTGCTTTTTCAGAGTGGTCTTTATCTATTCGGTGCTTAGACCAAAGATGGCCAAGCATATTTTTCATTGAAGAGTCATGCACATACCTAACATCAATGTTTTTTTCTTTACAGATTTGGCAAACATCAAAAGTGCTTTTTTCTGTTGTCTCAATCATAAAATAATCCCACATGGTACTATGAATGTTACATTTTTTTTATTTTTTTTTTATTGTTATATATAGACGATTCATCAGGTCTAGGTGGTTTATCATATACATCTACAGAATATATATCATCATCATCTATATAATCAGATATTGAAGTTGAAATGCTCATTTTGACAGATACACCTATTAGTTTTATAATATGTATTAATTGCATAATGCTTAATTTTTTGCATGCATTATGATTTTAAAAAATTTATCTGTTCTATTGCAGTATACTTAATATTTAGTGTTCAACAAACTATGAGTAGCTTTTTTTTTGTTTGTTTTTTGAGCTACTGGTGAATGATGACCAAGGCATAGCTATGTTTATTACAAAGTTCTGAACATAACCTGGTTAGTGCTACAAGTGAAGATGTTTTGTTCATGACTTAAAAAACAGTGTAATTTTTATAAAAGTCATGTTTTCCAAAAATCAAAAAAAAAAAAAAATGCTTTTAAAAATTAAGAAGTTTTTATATCAGAAAAAAAGCATTATCAATTATTATATTATATAAGACCAATTAAAGTTAATTTTTTGGTTCGCATAACTGGCCAGGTTAATTTTACTATCAGGTAGTTTTTTTTAAAAAAAAACAAAAAAAAAATTTTTATACTGTACTGGTATGTATAAATTTTTTTTTGAAAATAAAATTAAGCAGATCTTTTTTATACCAAAAAATTAACTTTATATGGCCTAGCATTAACTTTATCTTAAACCTTATTTTTAAACTGGTTGGTAATATAAATCAGGTTGATCAATTATCTATTTACCAACTAGGTTACCTATTGTAAAATGGGTCACCTGCTTATTATAGTGATACCTGTTGTAAAATGGGTCATCTGCTTATTATAGTGTTACTCACTATAAAACGAGTCACTCGCTTATTATGATGTTAGCCACTGTAAAACAGGTCATCTAATATAAACAGATCACCTATTTATCAAAAAAATAATCTGGTTAGTAAATTTTACAGGTTAGGTCATCAGGTATATGATTACCCAGATTATAGTTTGGATCTCTACCTTAGACCTGCCACTTGGAGAATAACAACCCAACCACTACACCAGGATCACCATCCTCCAATTTAGCTTTTATAATATATAGTACTTTTAAAATTTTGTATTATTTCTTTATTAGGTTTTTTCAAATAAGTTTTAGTTTAATTTAGTTTTATAGTTTTATAATTACAAGAAATTATTTTGGATTTGTACTATTTTATCTTTTTGTGTAATCAAGATTACACAAATATTTATAATTTGTTAGTTATACTAATATAATCATAGTTATAAATACTTTATTTAAACTAATCAAAAAAATATCATCACTATAATACTGTTAATATATTATATAAATAATTATTTAAAATTTTACTATTAGTGAATTTTAAACTCATAACTTATTATTTAAAGATTAACAACTTATTTATTTTACTAAGTCACCATATACTCAGAATTTGTTATGCTTATAAACAATATAATTCTAATTATATTTAAAGAGTTTTCTCTGATTTTAATTATATCATACTACTATATATTGCAAGCTCTTAGCTATTTAATAATATCTGTAAAACAATTCTGGTTATGACTAAAAAGTGATACTAACTCCAGTGATGTTATATTATTTCACAAATCTTATTTCATATTGATTAGTTGATTTCAGTTTTGGTTATTATAAACTTCATATAGATATAATCAGAATCTAATTTGATACTTTTTTTTTTTATAAAAAAGTTATATGTCAGCTTTTAAAAATTTTTTTTTTATAGTTAAATTATTTAGCAATGCCAAAGATGCTTCTAATTTTAGTTAAACTAATCTTTTATAGCAGACTGTTCTTGTATTTACTGCTTTTTTTACTATTTTAGTCTTTAATTATTTTTAGATTACTTTCCTAATCAAATTTTATTCTTGAATCTTAATTAAAACTTATTTATATAATTTATTGATTATTCTTCTAAGCAAGTATTTTACAAATTGAATACAAAAATGTTAGTTCTGCTTATATTAGAAGGTGTAAATATATTAATGTTGCTTTAGTCTTAAAAACTTATATGTACAATCTTTTTATAATTGTAATCTTTTGTAATATTACTATTATGCATAATTTCTGTATTTTATTATTAGGTTTTCTTTTAAAAATTCTTTTTATTCAAATTCATATCTGTATTTGAACTTTTTTTACAAAGATTTATATCTAATTAATCGCTTCAATAAGATATAAAAACAAATTTGGTTTCAGTCCAACTCAAATTATTAATCCTGTTTATAGAGAGTTAAAAGCTTATTTACTAAGCTATAAAACCCAAACTTTATTATCAATTAAAACTAATACTAATAGTAATGCAAAAATATAATAATAATACAAAAATAATATATATAACTAATGTTAATAATATAATTTATTATTTTATTTTTTTTTTTTTTTAGTTAAAGTTCCTATCTTGGGAGTTGCGATGTTTTTATTCAAGTATATTAGGACATGACATGCCACCAAGGGCTCACCTTACATTGGAGGTTACAACTAGCCACACGTGCACTTTTGGTGCCTAATTTAAGTAGT